TCACCCCGTCACGGGGATTCGAACTGCCGACCTTCTGATCGGCAAGTCCTAGGCTCTGTGGGTTTAACCCACAGCGCCACCCGCATCCCACCTACCAAACCTACCAAAGAATAAATTAAAATAAAATTGGGATTATGGGGTTTTCTCGAGACAGTGAAGGACGTTTGTGCTTTGTCCTACTTGTGTTGTGGTGACAGCACTCTCCCTTCTTCTGTGGCAGCAGGACCAAAAATATGGGGGCTTGAGGAGGGTCAGTTCGGGTGTGGTGCAAGAGAAATGTCCCTATTTTCATGAGGAATATTGGAGGGTATGCACTGTTGAGTTCTGGCCCGGCTCACAGCCTTCCCAGAGAGGTATCTTGTTGGCCACAATGAGAACAGGATGCTGGACCAGGTGGGATTTTGGCTTGACCTATCCGGGCTGTTGTAATGTCCTTAAAAGACATGTGAAGACAGGAAAAGGCTGATAAAACGATGAACAAAACGGGAAGGGAACCAATTCCCTCTCAAAACACATGAGTAGCGGTGATGACAGGAGTTGTAGGGCGGCCCAAGAACATTTGAAAAGTCCTTCTGCATGGATCACGCCTGTGGCTCATCCAGTCTAGCATCCCATTCTCACAGAAGAAGAAGAGTTTGGATTTGATATCCCGCTTTATAACTACGCGAAGGAGTCTCAAAGCGGCTCACATTCTCCTTTCCCTTCCTCCCCCACAACAAACACTCTGTGAGGTGAGTGGGGCTGAGAGACTTCAGAGAAGTGTGACTAGTCCAAGGTCACCCAGCAGCTGCATGTGGAGGAGCGGAGACACGAACCCGGTTCACCAGATTATGAGTCTACCGCTCTTAACCACTACACCACACTGGCTCTCGGTGGCCAACCAGGTGGGAAACCCCCAAAACAAGACCGGAATACAACATCTGGAAGGCCGCAGGTTCTCCAACCCTCATTAGAACTGAGGGTCACCTAACGAAAGGTTAGCAATATATTCAGGGACAACGAAAAGAAGCAGGTCTTCACTCAATGTGGAGTGCAAACATATGGGATACACTGCCCCAGATGTGTTGAAGGTCACTGGTTTTTATGGTTCCCTACCCTGACCCACCTCCCACCTGTGGACACAGCGGCCATTCCGTGCCCTTCCTCTGCCCATTTGGTTGGCACGTCGTGTGCTCTGAGGACCTCATTTGGTTCAGAGGCTGCCAGCTGCCGATTCCTATGCTAGGGATCCATTTCTGGTGAATTGCGTCCTCCCCTCTGCTCCCTCCCCCCCGAAAGAGCCTGGTGTGATGATAAAATAGCACGCCTGGAAGTTTTTGCAGAGTATCCGTCCTTCAAACAGCCCCTTGGAACAGGGGGAATTGCTAGTTTCCGACCAGGGCAGTTGGCAAAACAAACAACGGCAGAAGGCTCTGGGGGCAGGTGGAGAGGTAGACTGACTTCCCTGTTTGGACAGAAGTCAAGCCACCCACATTTCCCCAGCGTGACTTAACAGTTGATCCATGTGGAAAGTTTAAGCAGGTGGGCAGACTGGAGCCTGGCTCCCCCGGGGCCTTTCCCTACGGGAAGAATGGCCCCCTAAGTAACCAACGTCTGCTTGCGGTCCAGCTTACTCCCTTCTGTGGTCTGCTTCTTTCCTGGTCCTGCCGCTTCCTGGCCTGCGGCAGCGGCCTAACGCTAGAACTGTGCTGAAAATTCAACGCAAACATCCCTGCATTTCCCCCAACCATTCTGCATCAGTTAACAAGGAAAGAAACGGCACTTTAAAATTATCAGAGGGGAGAGAAGGCTCCCAGTGAAACTCTCAGGTGCGGTGCAGGGTTCTCGATGCAAGGATTTTCCTTCTGAGGTGGCACGGAGGGGTTCATGAGTGTCTTTTCATTCTATAAATTGCTGGTCCCATGGTCTGCCGCCTTCCTGGGTGCCCATGCGTCAGTCAAAACCCAGGGGAAGACTTCATGGAGGTCAGGAAGTGCGGGCTGCAGAAAATGCTTGCAGGATAGAAAATTGCACCCACTCTTCCACTTTGCAATGATGAAATAGGCTTGAAATCCTGCACCGACCCCAAATTCTAAAGAAGTTATAAAGAAAGTGCCCCGAGAATGAAAACGCCACGAGGAATTTGCTCCCGTGAGATGTAACAGTGGGCATCAACATGGCTGGCTTTAATAGAAGATTAGACAGAAGCAGAAGACCAGCTGCAGGAATTATGCTGGTCTGTGACCGTAATAAAGTAAATTCATTCATTCAGTTGCAGGAAAGCATAATTAGGCCCTGCTTGCGAGATGCTGGAGCAGATGGTCTATGGCCTGATCCAGAATAGCTCTTATTATGTTCCTATTGCCAGATCCTTCTTCTGGATACAGAAGCACCGGGAGTATCTGGATCTATGGAATGCGAAACCCTTGCCTCCCTGTTTACATGAGAAACCTATACGCAGCCTTTTAGTACTTCGCCTCCAAAGTGGCTTAACAAACATACCTAAGCCAGTGCAAATGAACTGAGTTCAGCAGCACACATTTGGAGTAGAGATGGTTAGGAATGCACTGCAAGAGATCAACAGCAGTAGCCACAGAGCTATAAACCCTACAGGCAAAGATTAAACAAGGATAAATCCAAAAGACGACAGAGGAGGCGATTTCTAGTAGCCACCCAGTCTCTATTGATTATCTTGGTGAGTTCGCTGGTTTTTATGGAAGAAGGCTGCCTAGAAACGCCATTCAAGGCTTCATAGTCTTATCCCCATTTTACAGCTGAGGGAAACGGAGGCTGACAGACACCATGAACCACTCACAAGGTCACAAGGACAGTAGATAGATCTCATCCTCTTATCTCTGGAGATGTAACACTGGAAAGTCCCAAAATAGCTTGGGAATTTCCTTAGCCCGATAAGCTGGGGCTGTTCAATGGAGACAGCCTTATCTCTGTCTTTGCAGCTGTAAAACATAAATCCTCAATTTACAAGAGACCACAGCCTCCCTCCGCAAGAGTCATGTGGAAACGAAAAGAGTTGACTGCACCAAACTTTGAAGAAGGGAAAGTGGAAGTCTGACAGTCAGGTTTCTTCTGAATACTGCTGTTGGAGTAGCGCTGAGACTCAGGGGGGATGCTGAGGACTTTCCACTGAGGTACCCCAAGTTAGACTCGAAGGGTCTTGGGTCACCTTAAAGACTATCATACAATGTACTGTGGCACGAGGTTTTGTGGACTCAAGCCCACTTCCTCAGGTGCGTGAAATGAAATCTTAGCTGGCAGGTACAGAAAAGAGAAAACTTTGAGGAGGTGGGGAGCGAAATGGCAGGGAGATGCAAAAATTATGGCCGACGATAGCCAGGTTTGATTCCTCGTTCTTGGAGATGAGTCAAGTTTAGGGTGTGTATACGTCTTTCGAAAGAACTAGGACCAGGTTTTTATTCTTAATAGCATCATCAGCTGCCTCCTTTCTCTCTGCCACCCTAAAACTCTTGGACTTTTCAGGGCACCTTGATTTTCAGACCATATCAGGTAGTACTATTTTATCTCCACACCAGTGAAAAGATTCGGCTGTCGATTTCTACAGATTGCTACTGGTCTGCCACTAAGCTTTTCCACCCCCCTAGTCGGTTGGCAACACAGCAATGATGGCTAGTGATAGAGAATCGCAAGTTCTTCGCTGTATGTTTAATGTTTTGTGATCTGCTATGAGTGCTTATTTGATCAGGAGGTGGGATAGAAACAGAGAAGACTACCTTCATTTCTTCTTCGGAAGCTTAGGCCCCTCCTCCTTTGCCTTTGTTGCTGATAAATTTTAAATAATAACATTTAATTCTTACCCTTTCAAATGGGAAATATCAAATGAGTAGCAGCATATACACCATACCTTTAAAGCACATTCAAAGCATATACCTCCCCCCCCAAATAATCTTGGGAATTATAGTTTGCTAAGGGTGCTTGGAATTGGAACTCTGTGCAAAGGTAAACTACAGTTCCCATGATTTTTATTTTTATTTTGCAGGGGGAGGAATGGTCTTTGAATGTGCTTTAAAAAGATGCTGCGTACACAGCCGTACCAGCAGATCTTTAAAAATTAAAGAAAGCATCATCCTAACATGCAGACAGGAATTAAGCAAGCGAAACTTTCCCTCCCTACTTGCATTTCCAGGCCAGGAAAATCTTAACATTTCTGTTTGCTAAATTAACTAAATTTCTGCTTGCCAGCCTGCTGTTAATGGCGCAAGAAAGAGATGCGGGCCGTAGAACCAGGAGAAACCGTGAGACAGGGCGCCTGGGAAAAGTTTCCCCAAAACAAGAATTTCTGCTTGCCATGCAGCTATCAAATGTCTCTCTCCTTCCCCCGACTCTTGCTCTGAACTCCACGTTCGCTTAAATGCACAATGGGCATACCCTGGGCATTCTCCTTTGCCAAGCACTGCATGCTCTCTCTCTATTTTTTTAAGGGGGTGGAATGATGAAGAAGAAAGGGAGCGTTCCCCTTAAACATCACGGTCTTTGTCCTGGAGATGGGAACATGTAGGGCAGCTGATTTGACCATGTATGTGGGACGAGATGGGATGAGGAGCTGGAGTCAAAGCTTCTTTGATCCTGCGAGGAAGAGAAGCTTAAAAATAGACTCTTCCTGTACCATAAATAGATGCTGTGTCAGTGTCAGACGGCTGCAAATATGGGGCTTCGTTTTGGGGTGTGTCTGTGGCCTGTGGCCGTTCGCTTTCAGAGAGAGAGAGAGAAAGTCTGCAGAGGGCTGGAGCTGAACCAGAGAGCCCTGGGTTCAAATCCCCACTCGGATGGAAACTCGCTAGATGGCCAAAGCATCCTTTTTCTCTCTCTTAACCGACTTTACTAGGAAAGCCGCGGCCAGGTTATGGGAAGAAAGTTAGGAAGCCCCTAAGGAAATGAAAAGCAACACTTTACATCCCATTGCTTTTAAACTCTGGAATGGAAGTCCCAGTCAATTTAGCGCAGAATTTACTTCTGACTAAACACACAGAGGGACGCGGGTGGCAGAGCCTAGGGCTTGCCGATCAGAAGGTTGGCGGTTCGAATCCCCATGACGGGGTGAGCTTCCGTTGCTCGGTCCCTGCTCCTGCTAACCTAGCAGTTCGAAAGCACATCAAAGTGCATATAGATAAATAGGTACCACTCTGGCGGGAAGGTAAACGGCGTTTCCGTTTGCTGCTCTGGTCCGCCAGAAGCGGCTTAGTCATGCTGGCCACATGACTCGGAATCTGTCTGCAGACAAATGCTGGCTCCCTCAGCCTATAGAGCGAGATGAGCGCCGCAACCCCAGAGTCGGTCACGACTGGACCTAATTTTCAGGGGTTCCTTTACCTTTACGCTGGGAGACTAGGTCCAATAATGGTATTAGACATGGCTGCTCTGAGTACCAGGGACTGAGGATAAAGTCTGAGGGATGTGGCCATCATGCCTTGCTTGTACCTCTCAATCTTTAGGCTGCTGCTTTTGGACGATTCTTGAAGCCCCTCTACACTGGTGTTGTTTTTGCGGGCAAATTCTGCAACATGCCATTGACCCAAGAATAGTGCATTAGTGGTGAACTTCCCCCTGGACCATACACACAAAGCATTCCACTTGAATAGTTGTTCTGCAATGCTATCCGAATGGTCTCGCTGCCCAGAGGGGCATTTTTAGGCTACGGCACAACCAATGCAACACACATGGAGAACTCGCCGCATGAAAAGTTACAGGGTTTCAGCTGGAAGCTCTGGGAACATGCATGGATTGGAAACAAAGCATGCGTCTCCATCCTGAAAAAAACTGCTGTCGCGAGCAGAACTGAAAGTGGGATCGCATGTAACTGCCTAGACACCAACAAAACGTCATGAACGCACAATAAAAAGACCGTCTACAGGCAGGGGACGCGGGTGGCGCTGTGGGTAAAACCTCAGCGCCTAGGACTGGCCGATCGCATGGTCGGCGGTTCGAATCCCCGTGGCGGGGTGAGCTCCCGTCGTTCGGTCCCAGTGCCTGCCAACCTAGCAGTTCGAAAGCACGTCAAAGTGCAAGTAGATAAATAGGTACCACTCCAGCGGGAAGGTAAACGGCGTTCCGTGTGCTGCGCTGGCTCGCCAGATGCAGCTTGTCACGCTGGCCACGTGACCCGGAAGTGTCTGCGGACAGCGCTGGCTCCCGGCCTATAGAGTGAGATGAGCACACAACCCTAGAGTCTGTCAAGACTGGCCCGTACGGGCAGGGGTACCTTTACCTTTACCTTTTACAGGCAGTTCTTAAACTCAGTGGTTGAAGCTGGAGTTTCTTGCTGTGAGCTCAACTCTACTCCCCCAATTTCTCTTCTACATCTCCCCATTCTGACACTTGATGCCAAGGATTCTTCCAGGCAGAATCCATGGTGGATCACGGTTGTGTACCATATTCTTCGCTCTATAAGACGCACCAGACCACAAGACGCACCTAGTTTTTGGAGGAGGAAAACAAGAAAAAAAATATTCTGAATCTCAGAAGCCAGAACAGCAAGAGGGATCGCTGCGCAGTGAAAGCAGCAATCCCTCTTGCTGTTCTGGCTTCTGGGATAGCTGCGCAGCCTGCATTCGCTCCATAAGACGCACACACATTTCCCCTTACTTTTTAGGAGGGAAAAAGTGAGTCTTATAGAGCAAAAAATACGGTAATTTTAAGGAAAGGGACTATGGAATTGCTGGTTGCTGCCAAGATGTTACACATGCAAACTGGAGAGGGGTCTGGCGCATTTTTGGAAAGATTCAACGCATTCCTCTGCCGGCCACAAGGAAGGTGAACCCCCCCTCTCCCCCAAAACTATTTGCAGGTGGCTTTAATCCGAAACTTCCTTCTGACCAGGCATTCCTGCCGCCTCTTACAGCCAGCTCTCCAGCTGAGGCAGGAATGGCACTGGAGCCAGAACAAAGGCCTGCTATTTTCACATCCACAGCTTTGCAAATACCTGTCAGATGCACCAAGTGCAGGAACCACAGCCTGGGCAGCACGGAGGCTCGATTGCTCACTGGGAGAACTAGTCATTGTGGGAAATCAAAATGGCGGCTCCCAGGTCCAGCTGGCTGGTGAAGATTTAGCCCACCGGGGTGTGGTGAAAAGGCTCTTTGCTTAAAGTCTTGTCAGATGTCGGGTCAGCTATCCCAGTTTGAAGCATCAATTGCTTCAATTTTTCTCAGGCAGAGCATTACCCAAGAGGTACTGGAAGGAAATGATTTAAAATTATCAATTAGTGATTATTATAGATAGATAAAAGAGGATTTACTTATTTTGTGGATAGGCTACAGCAATATATAAAAGTCTTAGGAGAAATTGGTGCTTGTACAGTCAATGTGAAGGAGAAAGGATGAAATATTGTAATATCATTTTTAAAAATTGAATATTGAAATGAAAGTTGGGAAAGCTAACGTACTTGGAGCAGCAATGGACGGAGAGAAAAAGAAGGAACACCTGGGGGTGCGAAGTCAGCTTTTACATTTGTATTAAATGTGGTGACAATTTGTTAAAAATTATGGAAAATCAATAAAAAATAATTGGCAAAAAAAGCACCTATTGCCCAGCGTACCGCCTCACTCTGCTTTGTGCCCAGACTCGGCCTACTATGATGGTGTGTTTGCGCAGCTGGGATAGCCACCAAGCAACCAGGGTGCCAAGTTCCCACAAGCACTACGCAAAACCTCGTGGAGGAAAAAAGAAAACCATTTAATGCAAACGGGAAAAAGAATAGCCTTTATAGAAATAAAGTTGTACACTGCCAGAGATTCAAGAGCACTGGGAACAGAGGTCCTGTCTGCGACATGGGCAAACTCCTTCAGACAAAAAAATCAGACCGAGAAAGAGATTTTACAGCGCCCCCCAAAAAAGGGGTCGCAACGGATCTTGCTTGCGAGGTGCTCCGCTTAGACGAGGACCCACAAGGTCTGCCTCCTGACCCATCCGGGCTAAGCGCCAATCGCTCGTCCTCTTTCCTCTCCCCGAACTGGAGATGCTAAACTCGGGACGTTTGGCTCATAGGTTCCGCACTTTGGCTGCCAGTGGATTGGAGCCGCCCTTCTGCTCCCGACCGCAGAAGTCTTCCCTTCCCAAGCGGCGAGGGTCCCGGTCTTTGGAACGAATGGGAAGGAGCCGTAACGGCGGCAAGGGGGCGGCCCTGGCCGGGGTGGGGAGGACCTCAGCACTCAACGCCATAGCGGTCGAAGTTCCGGAGGATGACGGCCAGTTGGAGGTGGACGGTGCCCATGGCGCAAGTCTGCAGGCGGTAGCGGTCGGCCCCCGTGTAGATCAGGTCGGTGTTGAGCAGCTGGGGGCCCCCTCCCACAAAAAGCTGGGAGAGCTGTTCCTGCCACGAGCCCAGGGGGCGCCAGGTGACGCAGTCCAGCTGGTGGGAGCCGGGGGTGGAAGGCACGTGGCAGAAGCCGTACCCGTACAGCTCTGTGCGCCCAAAGGAGTCCTGGTGCCACACCTGAACGTGCAGCTTGGGCCAGCCTGGCGGGGAAAAAGAGAAAGGAAGGGTCGTTTCTCTACGCAGCCATGGCAGCCCAAATGGTATGCCGTATTTGTCGCTCTATAAGACGCACCAGACCACAAGAAGCACATAGTTTTTGGAGGAGGAAAACAAGAAAAAATATATTCTGAATCTCATAAGCCAGAACAGCAAGAGGGATCGCTGCGCAGTGAAAGCAGCAATCCCTCTTGCTGTTCTGGCTTCTGGGATAGCTGCGCAGCCTGCATTCGCTCCATAAGATGCACACATATTTCCCCTTACTTTTTAGGAGGGAAAAAGTGAGTCTTATAGAGCAAAAAAGACGGTATGTACCAGAAACGGAGGGAAGGGAGCAGGACCAACGAAGGAGGAGTGGCAGACGAAAACGGTGGAAGGTGCACAATCGCCCAGCTTAACCAGCAGAATAGGAGAGCCAGAGGAAAGGGTATTTAAGGAAGACTGGAAAATGTTTGTAGAATACTCGAAGAATCATTGCAAACAGGTTAGGGCGTTAGCAGGATGGGAGTAAATTCAGCAGTGAAAATTGCATTGAGATAAAAGGGGAAATATGGAGTACCGTATTTTTCTGTGTATAAGACGCGCCCGTGTGTAAGACGACCCCAATTTTTTGGGACTCCTAACTGAGAAAATGGGACACGGGTGGCGCTGTGGGTTAAACCACAGAGCCTAGGACTTGCCGATCAGAAGGTTGGCGGTTTGAATCCCCGCAACGGGGTGAGCTCCCGCCCGTTGCTCGGTCCCGGCTCCTGCCAACCTAGCAGTTCGAAAGCACGTCAAAGTGCAAGTAGATAAATAGGTACCGCTCCGGCGGGAAGGTGAACAGTGTTTCTGTGCGCTGCTCTGGTTCGCCAGAAGCGGCTTAGTCATGCTGGCCACATGACCCAGAAGCTGTACGCCGGCTCCCTTGGCCAATAAAGCGAGATGAGTGCCGCAACCCCAGAGTTGGCCACGACTGGACCTAATGGTCAGGGGTCCCTTTACCTTTACTAAAATGAGAAAGGGGAAATCCGGAGTGCCGTATTTTTCCGTGTATAACACGACCCCGTGCATAAGACGACCCCGATTTTTGGGGACTCCTGATTGAGGAAATAGAGGGAGAGTGCCCAGACTTGTTGAGCTTTTTTGGGGAGGGATTGTCGACAATCGCTCACCCACCTGACCCCGCTGCCAATGGCACACATCAGCGAAGCCACCAATCGCCCGTCCCACCTCTGCGCTATCTGTGTATAAGACAATCCCCATTTTTTAGCATTTCTATTGAATAAAAAAACCTCATCTTGTACACAGAAAAATATGGTAATTAGAATATGCAGCAGTAAGGGGGAATCAGAAGGAAGAATGGAAGGTGGGAAGGGAAGTCTTATGTTTAATTCAATATAGTTGTACCTTGGAAGTTGAACGGAATCCGTTCCAGAAGTCTTTTCAACTTCCAAAACGTTTGGAAACCAAAGCGCAGCTTCTGATTGGTTGCAGGAGGCTTCAGCTTCCAAAAATAGTTCACAAACCGGAACACTCACTTCCGGGTTTGCGGCGTTCGGGAGCCAAAACGTTTGAGAACTAAGCTGTTCAAAAACCAAGGTATGACTGTATTGTGTTTGGTTTATGTGATTGTGAAAAATTATAAATAAAAGTTGTTTTGGAAAAAGGAAGGAAGGATAGCAATTTAAGTTTCCGAAGCATCCCACCATTTCATCTCGGTAGCGATGTTGGGAGGATTTAGATGGAAGCAGACACTACTGATGTTCACTACTCGTACCATGTAGAGGCAGTATGGTGTAGTGGTTAGAGTGCTGCACTAAGACCTGAGACTCCGGGGTTCAAATCCCCCCTCGGCCCTGAAGCTCACAGGGCGACCTTGGGCCAGTCATTCATTCTCAGCCCAACCTACCTCGCAGGGCTGTTGTGAGGATAACACGGGGAGGCGGAGAACGAGGCATGCCGCCTTGCGCTCCTTGAAGGAAAGCTGGGATATATAAAAGCTAAATAAGATGAAATAAATAAATGCCCGTGCACTGAAATGGTGCAGAACAATGTAATCAATTATATGAGATTCTGCTACAGCAGACAGCAGGACCAGCGATGTAGTTTTTGTTGGAAGCTGAACTGCAGTGGCGCAGAAACAGCGCTGCGTGCAATGAAGATGGCTTGGAAGAGAAATCAATGCCTTTGTATATTTTCTCTGCCTCCTGGTGACCCTTACAACAGCTTGGAAGGGATTACACGGGTATAACATTCCTGCCCCCTCTGGTGGGGGCAGAGAGGACAGTGGCTTTTCTCAGGTTGCCCAGCAAGTTCCCAGCCAAGTCGAGATTTGAATCAGAAGCTTCCTGGATCGCGATCCAAAACCACTCTGCTACACCGGGTTCGGGAACAAGGTTGCAGCATCAGCCAGAGGACATAGCTAGCACTCCTTAGAAGCAAAAAGAGCTCCGCCCCCAGAGATGGAGGTTCTGTGCTATATTTTCTGTAATCTTAGGGTTGGAGTCTACCATTAAAACTGAAACCTAAAATTCGTCTGAGCATTACGGAAGTACCATGGAGTTAAAGTGGCATCTTATCTCCCTATAAAAAAATCACAACGTAGAGGAATAGCATTTCTCAAGTTTCAACTGAACCATTTTTTGAAAGGATGTTACAGAATAGTTTATCTGAATTAAGGGAATGCAAGCAGGCTGTTGTTATTTAACGCAAAGAATACAGTGGTACCTCTGGTTGTGAACGGGATCCGTTCCGGAGCCTCGTTCGCAACCTGAAAGGAACGCAACCCGCGTCTGTGCGTGCGCAGGTCGCGATTCGCCGCTTCGGCGCATGCGCGTCATGTCATTTTGCTCGTCTGCGCATGCGCGAGCGGCGAAACCTGGAAGTAACCCTTTCCAGTACTTCTGGGTCGCTGCGGGACGCAACCTGAAAAGACGTAACCTAAACCGAACATAACAAGAGGTACGACTGTAGTTAATAATCAGGGTAAAGTAAAGGCTCTGGGGTTGCGCGCTCATCTCGCTCTATAGGCAGAGGGAGCGGGCGTTTGTCCGCAGACAGCTTCCAGGTCATGTGGCCAGCATGACTAAGCCGCTTCTGGCGAACCAGAGCAGAGCACGGAAACGGCATTTACCTTCCCACCGGAGCGGTACCTATTTATCTACTTGCACTTTGACGTGCTTTTGAACTGCTAGGTGGGCAGGAGCTGGGACCGAGCAACAGGAGCTCACCCCGTCGCAGGGATTCGAACCACCGACCTTCTGATCGACAAGCCCTAGGCTTAGTGGTTTAGACCACAGCACCACCCGCGTCCCATCTAATATTCAGGGTATTTCTTTCTTAATATAATAGCATCCATGCACACAGATTGTGGAGGGAATACCACACTATTTCTGCCACAGCAAAAACAGAATCTTTAAAGATATGTGTGTTTGAGTGTTTGTGTGTGTGTGGCATCAACATTTGAGGACCAGGGTCCCGTTAGGACAGAGGCATGAAGACTTCTCAGTTGACAGATATATAAATGGAGAAAAGGAAGTCTGGAACACTGGGGCCCCAAAGGACACAAACGGCAGGAGGCCTGTCGGATTGCTACGTGGTATCCAAATGTATATGAGACAAGACCAGAGTTTCAAAGTCATAACCAGTGAGTGTGGCACTTTGCCGCAGAATAGAATAGCTTGATCTAAAAGGACAAGCCTCTGCCCCAAGGAGCTTGCAAACCACGACACTGAATACTTGGACATAGAAAAAAAAAGATTTTGACACTCCTATTGTGGATGAGGAACTGTTAAAGAAACAGGAAGAAGAGCAGGGGAAAAATGGACAGTTCTCATGATGGAAGGATACAGAATGAGGAGTCCTGCAAGGGTCAGTATCTGGACTTGTGCTTTCCAACGATCTAAAGTTGGGGGTGGCAGTGAGGTGGCCATTGATACTAAATCATTCACGGTAGTTTAAACAGGAGAGATGGTGAAGAGGTCCAAAACGACTTCCCCAAACTCAGGGCTTATTCACACCCAAACTTTTCCTCCACTCTTTCCAGGCACGGCCCGTGATTTAAAGCTCTGAACACCTTTTTTCCCTTTTGCTTCAGAGCTTTCCCTGTGAAAATCTGCTCTTTAAAGCTCAATCAGAGCAAACGGCCATCTGTGGGGAACCCAAACTGATGTTTGCTCCGATGGAGCACTGAAGATTGGGAAACTGGTGTATCTGACTAGGCACTGTGGAGTGCAGGATGCTGGCCTGATCTGGCAGGTTCTTAATAATTCAGTGTGCGGATAACAATGCTGATTTACCATAAAGAGCTGTTTGGCGGCGTCTGTGAAGTGACATGAGCTTGCAGAAAGCACTCAACCGATGCTAAATATTAAGGTTATTATTATTAAGTCAGAGTCTGTCTCCTCCAAGCACTCGTTAGGCTCCATCCTCCTTCTCCTCTCTTTCTTTCTTTCTTTTTTCTTTCTCTCTCTCTCTCTCTCTCTCTCTCCTGCTCCCGCCACCATCTCCCCCTGTCAATTCGGAGTTCGTATTTCAACATTAGCCAAGGTCTGGCTGGCCGGGGGTGGCGGTGGGGTTATATATATGTGTGTGTGTGTATTTTTTATCTCTTCGCCTGAGCACTGTGTTCCCAGCAATAAAGGGAACCGGGGAAGCATGATTTATTAATTATGTGGAGTCTCGTCAGCCGGGAAGAAAAGGAAGCGGCGGGAGACTTTCGGCAGCTTTTCCGCATCAATCCATTCCTCTGTCCCCCCCGCTTGGTCCTTCCTTGCCCCCACCTTTCCGGTCCAGCTCAGCTCAGCTGAAGCGCAGCCTAGAAAAGGCAGCAAAGAGAAGCCCACGCAAATCAAACCGGCTTTGCGGCACGCACACAAAAAAAGCCGGCCGCTCCGACAATTAATCCCCTGCCATTCCAAACGGCTTCCCTTCACTGGCTGGCTTCTGAGCTCTTTTGTCTGATGGAGCAGTTTACCGTAGCCACGGATTAATTTCCTTTCAGGTAGCCAATTATATCAAATGTACGCGGGTGGCGCTGTGGATTAAACCACAGAGCCTAGGACTTGCTGATCAGAAGGTCGGCGGTTCGAATCCCCACGACGGGGTGAGCTCCCGTTGCTCGGTCCCAGCTCCTGCCAACCTAGCAGTTCGAAAGAACGTCAAAGTGCAAGTAGATAAATAGGTACCGCTCTGGCGGGAAGGTAAACAGCGTTTTTGTGTGCTGCTCTGGTTCGCCAGAAGCGGCTTAGTCATGCTGGCCACATGAGCTGTACAGCCGGCTCCCTCAGCCAGGAAAGCGAGATGAGCGCTGCAACCCCAGAGTCGTCCGCAACTGGACCTAATGGTCAGGGGTCTCTTTACCTACCTTATTCTTGGAGGGGGTGGGGAGGGAAAGAAAGGGTGAAATATAAAATAAACTATGGTTACCAGATGTCCCCATTTCCCGGGGACGGTCCCCGGATTTACAAATCAGTCCCCATACAAAACCCATTGAAGTTGAAAAATGTCCCCGGATTTATTGAAAAAAATCTGGTAACCTTCAAATAAACCGAGCCCAAAAGTATTGCCGTCACACACACACACACACCCAGCACCCTCCGCGGCTGGGAATTCCAGAAGTTCAGAGCAGGCATCAAGGCCTCCCCTCAATTGTCCCACGTTAAGAGGGGAACTGGTACCCCAAACCCACCAAATCTAGGGGGCTTCTGTTGAAAACAGAAGACTGGGCTGAAGATTCCAAGTTCCAAGGGGAAATGGTATGGGCTGGTTTGATGCAGAGGAACAGGGGGAGCAACCAGCAGGGGAATCACCAAGGGAAAAAGGCTCGGAGCTCGGGGATTGGTGGTTGGAGAGCAAGCATGGTCAGAGGGAGGAGAGGGAGGAGGAGGTGTCAGAAGCTGAAGGGGTAACAGGGTTTAGTGAGCTGGGAGAGTCCGTGGCAGAGAGAAGTCCAGAAGCAGAAGCAGAAGCAGAGGAGGGAGGCCAAGAGGCAGAGAGGAGTCCGGCTGGTGAAGAGTCACGGGCGTCTGCCTCTCCTGCTGCAACGAGTTCCCCCGCCCCTTGTCTCCCAGAGCCAGGAGAGGCATGAAGAGAGCAGAGGGGAAGTTTGTTTAACGCAGGCGCAGTCTCCGATTGCTTGGGGGAAACCCTGGAGAGGAGGGGGACTTAGGCAGCCGTGGGGACCTTCAGTCTCAGCAACTTGGATGATGGACTCAAGGGCATCCTGATCAAATTTGCAGATGACACCAAACTGGGAGGGGTGGCTAACACCCCAGAGGACAGGATCACACTTCAAAACGACCTTGACAGATTAGAGAACTGGGCCAAAACAAACAAGATGAATTTTAACAGGGATAAATGTAAAGTATTGCACTTGGGCAAAAAAAATGAGAGGCACAAATACAAGATGGGGGACACCTGGCTTGAGAGCAGTACATGTGAAAAGGATCTAGGAGTCTTGGTTGACCACAGACTTGACATGAGCCAACAGTGTGACGCGGCAGCTAAAAAAGCCAATGCAATTCTGGGCTGCATCAATAGGAGTATAGCATCTAGATCAAGGGAAGTAATAGTGCCACTGTATTCTGCTCTGGTCAGACCTCACCTGGAGTACTGTGTCCAGTTCTGGGCACCACAGTTCAAGAAGGACACTGACAAACTGGAACGTGTCCAGAGGAGGGCAACCAAAATGGTCAAAGACCTGGAAACGATGCCTTATGAGGAACGGCTAAGGGAGCTGGGCATGTTTAGCCTGGAGAAGAGGAGGTTAAGGGGTGATATGATAGCCATGTTCCAATATATAAAAGGATGTCACATAGAGGAGGGAGAAAGGTTGTTTTCTGCTGCTCCAGAGAAGCGGACACGGAGCAATGGATCCAAACTACAAGAAAGAAGATTCCACCTAAACATTAGGAAGACAGTAAGAGCTGTTCGACAGTGGAATTTGCTGCCAAGGAGTGTGGTGGAGTCTCCTTCTTTGGAGGTCTTTAAGCAGAGGCTTGACAACCATATGTCAGGAGTGCTCTGATGGTGTTTCCTGCTTGGCAGGGGGTTGGACTCGATGGCCCTTGTGGTCTCTTCCAACTCTAGGATTCTATGATTCTATGAACTGCTTCATGTGAGCAAGACCTGCCAGAGATCGAGATGTTGTGCTCACTACTAAGCCTGATGTTCCTGCGCATATCCTGTTTTTGCTAATAGTTACCTCCAAGTTAAAGGGATGCGGGTGGCGCTGTGGGTTAAACCACAGAGCCTAGGACTTGCCGATCTGGAGGTCGGTGGTTCGAATCCCCGCAACGGAGTGAGCTCCCGTTGTTCGGTCCCTGCTCCTGCCAACCTAGCAGTTCAAGAGCACGTGAAAGTGCAAGTAGATAAATAGGTACCGCTCCGGCGGGAAGGTAAACGGCGTTTCCGTGCGCTGCTCTGGTTCGCCAGAAGCGGCTTAGTCATGCTGGCCACATGACCTGGAAGCTGTACGCCGGCTCCCTCGGCCAATAAAGCGAGATGAGCGCCGCAACCCCAGAGTCGGCCACGACTGGACCTAATAGTCAGGGGTCCCTTTACCTTTACCTCCAAGTTCCTCAGTGCAGTTTACTGCTGGCTCGCTCCTGTCAGGCAGGTTCATAATGAGAGGCGAGACACAGTGCCTGATTCGAGCCGGATTGTGCAATTTGCTTAAACACCCCTCCGCATTTCATGGCTGGAGAGAATGGGGGCCTCTGAGTCTACGCAGAGTACCTTTCCTCAACCCCTGAGCAACTGCTGGGGACAAGGAACCATTTCAAGCCAAGGGCCCGCACTCTCTTCTGAGCAACTTCCAAGGGGCCAATGGTGGGTGGAGCCAGAGGCAACAGTGGGAGGAGCAACAGATGCAAATGACGCCTTTGTGCACTAGGCTAGCTGCCACACACAGCCCTCTTTGTCCTCCATCCCGAGCCACTGAGTTCTTGCGGGAATACAGTCCAGCTGAGATGCAGAGAATTCTCCACCATAAATCCCCAGCCCCACCTTTCAAGCCAGAATCCCCTGAAGAGAGGGGGCTTCCGAAGGCCACAGCTCTACAATGCAGCTGGCTGGGCACCACTGGTAGGGTGGAAGGCAGGGAGGCGAACAGCAGGTGGCGCCAGAGGCAACGAAAGCCAACTATTTGCCTCTATCCTCCTCCTCCCTGCTGAGTTGTACAACAGCAAAACTAAGGAGGGGGAAGCCAACCTGCTCCTAAATCCCCCTATTTGTTGTTTTCTGAGATCCCTGGACTGGATTTATCTCAGGAGAAGGCTGGATGAGGGCAGAGTGAGCTTTGTGGAGCAGGGTCCCATTTGCCCTAATAGACATTGCCTCAATGCCAATTTTTGCTTGGACTTGGGCCAAAGTCCCAATGGGGAAGACGGGAGATCAGGCTGGTTGGGGGCGAGTGGGTGGGTTCAACAGCCTCCGTAAGTGGGGCAGATTCTTGGCCAGCAATGCATGTGTTATGAAGCATCATTCACACTGATAGAGCCAAGATTTGGGGCATCGTAGCCAGCTAAATTCCCGGCGAAGGTTGGCCGGCAGCCACACTGCAGAACTGTCGCACCAGTTATAAGATGCGGCTTAGCTATTTAAGAGCATCGTTGTTCAGTGGGTTGCCTTTTAAATTGGTTAAATTGCCACTCAGGAAGAGTGCTCATTGCTCATACTCATTTTTCATATCTCCCAAAAGCGACTGTTCAATTTTTGAAGATTTTGTCCTTATTATCCAAAAGCTTTCAGTTTAGAATGACATTGCTAACCACTTGGGAAGGGAGAACATCTAAGAGAAGGAAAACTGATTCCAAACCTCTGCTGCCTTGCAGAATATCTTCGGGAGAAGAAAAGCCTAAGGCGTAAACCCTACACAAATGCTGTTGGAGGGCGCCTTGTACGCCTCCTTCCGGCAACTCCTGCAGCCCAGCTGGTGCCAAACGTCTTGCTCTGCTTTCCTTTGGACCACATCAATGAGGCCGAGAAAGGGGGTCTTGTCCTTTGGGCTGCCCAGGATCTCCAGACACACACGCTTGGGCCCCAGGGAGGTCACTTTGATGCTAACATAGCCAACAAGGCGAGTGTTCTGCTTTGTTTGCTCAAGCCACCAACGTCACAGCAGAAATCTGGAACCTCTACAGACTGATTTATTTATTTTTGTGCATCTATTCTGCAATATGTTATTGATGCAATTACATCTACGCTGCAGCACCCAGCAACCATTCTGCTTTATTAGATGGATGCGGGTGGCGCTGTGGGTTGAACCACAGAGCCTAGGACTTGCCGACCGGAAGGTCGGCGGTTCAAATCCCTGCGATGGGGTGAGCTCCCGTTGCTTGGTCCCTGCTCCTGCCAACCTAGCAGTTCAAAAGCACGTCAAAGTGCAAGTGGATAAATAGGTACCGCTCCGGCAGGAAGGTAAACGGCATTTCCGTGCGCTGCTCTGGTTCGCCAGAAGCGGCTTAGTCATGCTGGCCGCATGACCTGGAAGCTGTACACCGGCTCCCTCGGCCAATAAAGCGAGATGAGCGCCGCAACCCCAGAGTTGGTCACGACTGCACCTAATGGTTAGGGGTCCCTTTACCTTTTATGTGAGGCCTAGATGGGGGGGGCATATGCCCTGATGGCCTAGCTAGCTTCCACTGCATAACCAGGACGCTACCAAAGAAAATGGCCCTCTGTGGATCAGTAACCACAGCCAGCTCAAAGCATTAGCAAGCGGTCACTGGGTGATTTGCCTGCAATGTGTTAGGCGTTTCCCTGTCCAGCTGCAGCTGTGTCTTGCAACACACACAAAAATATTATTTAAAAGGATCTCATGTTTTTAACTTGGCAATAGCCAAGAACTGCAGAGGAGGAAGGGAAAGGCAACTGATATCTCTTACCCTGCAAGCCTTTGGTGGCAAAGTGGACGTCGATGGGGTGGGACCAATAAGCCACATCATCCAGCTGGGGGTGGTCGACTTGGGTCTGCCCTTCCCGGAATCCCGACAGCAACTTCCAGGCACCACCTGGGAGGAGGAGAAAACCCAGATGTCTCGGTTATGAATAGACAAAGCTCTGCCTCTCGAATCAAGTCTAAAAATGTGGGGGGGGGGTGGAAAGCGCCTGGGGAACTGACTTCCTCTCACCTCCCCCTTTAGTAGCGTCACTTAAATAACATAGATGGCATTTAGAGAGAAGAGAAGCTTGATAACACTTGACGAAGCAAACTGAACAAGAACAGCGTATAAATCTGAGGAGAAATTCTTTTTCTTTTATTAAATTTTATCGTTACCGTTCACATTAACACACCATACAGAAAAAGAAAACAAATCTCCATCGCCACCAAAGAGAAAAAGAGAATTAGTACATCAACTAGTAACCTTCAAAACATAAAAGTGGTCTTTTTCTATCTACCAGACTTCCCGTCTATTCCTTATTACAGATTCTGTATTAATTGTTCGCTGCCATTGCATAACGAGTTTTGTTCAGTTTCAATATCCCTTGATCCATTCATTGGTTTTTCCACATTTTTAACACTGCTACTGAAATTATTCGAACGCTGTGTATGGTATGACTTTAAACTACTATTATTACTATTTTTCAAATATATTTTAAAAACTTCCCATTTTGAAATAAATACCCATTTTGGTTTATTTTTTTATCTTTTCTGACATGCTATCTAAATCCGCGTATTCAGAGAAGAAATTCAACCGAGAGGCTTTCTGCCTTTCTTAGCTCAGGCCTTCTACACAGCAGGAAAACACTCAACTAAACATACAGAGGAAAACTCCCTCGGAACTAGGCAGCCAATGAGAGCTGATGCTACCTCGGCAAAGATCCTGCTCCTCTGATTGGTCGCTAAGCAACACCTGCCAGCTGACTTTAACCGAACAGAATTAACCCATAAATCACACGCTGAATTATCTCTGCCTTCTCCTTTCCCGTGATCTCTAGACCATAATGCTCCACCAACCTGTGTGAATCCCCCATTTGCAAAAAAGGCTGCTGCTAGGAAATCCGCTGGCTCCCACGATCTGACCAATCACGTGCACTTCAGCCATGGGCCTGCAGTGGGAAAGGACCTTAAAGAGAAAGGAGACACCCAGTCAGGGGCCATCATCATATTCCAGACCACTTCTGAGATTTCACATGTGTTTTAAGGTTACCTTGGTGGTTGGAGGATGGATGGCAGCTAATAGATTGAGGTTGAATCCTGACAAGACAGAAGTACTGTTTTTGGGGGACAGGGGGCGGGCTGGTGTGGGGGACTCCCTGGTCCTGAATGGGGTAACTGTACCCCTGAAGGACCAGGTGCGCAGCCTGGGAATCATTTTGGACTCACAGCTGTCCATGGAGGCGCAGGTCAATTCTGTGTCCAGGGCAGCTGTCTCCCAGCTCCATCTGGTGCGCAGGCTGAGACCCTACCTGCCCATAGACTGTCTCGCCAGAGTGGTGCATGCTCTGGTTATCTCTCGCTTGGACTACTGCAACGCGCTCTACGTGGGGCTACCTTTGAAGGTGACCCGGAAACTACAACTAATCCAGAATGCGGCAGCTGGACTGGTGACTGGGAGTGGCCACCGAGACCATATAACACCGGTCTTGAAAGACCTACACTGGCTCCCAGTACGTTTCCGAGCACAATTCAAAGTGTTGGTGCTGACCTTTAAAGCCCTAAACAGCCTCAAAGGCCCAGTATACCTGAAGGAGTGTCTCCACCTCCATCGTTCTGCCCGGACAGTGAGGTCCAACGCCGAGGGCCTTCTGGCAGTTCCCTCCCAGCGAGAAGCCAAGTTACAGGGAACCAGGCAGAGGGCCTTCTCGGTAGTGGCACCCGCCCTGTGGAACGTCCTCCCACCAGATGTCAAAGAGAAAAATAACTACCAAACTTTTAGAAGAAGGCAGCCCTGTTTAGGGAAGCTTTTAATGTTTAATAGGTTATTGTATTTTAGTGTTCTGTTGGAAGCCGCCCAGAGTGGCTGGGGAAGCCCACCCAGATGGGCGTGGTATAAATAATAAATTATAATTATAATTATAATTATTATTGAGGGCTGGAAACTTGGCTCAAAAGACAAAAGCAAAGTTCTCCAGATTCAGAATTCTGCATCTGCTGCTATACTACACAGGTGAAAACCTGTGCTGGGGTTTTGCAATCTCACCGTTTCTCCAGGTCACGGCAACCCTCCTTGCAACTGAATCAGACGGCTGTTGCTGAAGTAAAATATATTGCTCCTGTCACCCCCAACCTCTCTCTTTTTAAAAAAAATAAATTTTTATTATTTTCCTTATACATATTTTTACAGTACAATACAATGAATCACATAAATTCTTTTAGCTCTAGCCGAGCTTGCGACTTCCCTCCATCTCTTCAGCGAGCATCCCTTAGTTTCTTGTACCACGTATTCTATTTTTTAACCCTTATATCTGTCATACAATGTAAGAGCTATTTCAATCCTGCCAGCGTTTTTAAGTTTTTACAATTATCCTTTATATACACCCTAAATTTACTCCAACTTTCTTGATACCTCTGATCATCCTGATCCCGAATTCTTCCCGTCAGTTTGGCTAACTCCGCATAGCTCATCATTTTCGTCTGCCGCTCCACAATAGTAGGAATTTCTTGCAATTTCCAGTTTTGGGCACCCCCAACCTCTCAAGTACTTACTTACTCCTTGCTTGAACTACTGAAATCTAAATTTTGTACCAAGATTGTTTGAAGTATTGCTTCCCTAAGGCTATACGTTTGTGTGGTTAGATGTATTTATTAATAAAAACAGAAATGAGATTCAAGTTACTCCTGTATGACCAATTACTACAATGCAAAAACTGAACTGAACATTTCCAGGTGTTAACTTTCCTTGTTGGAACTCCTTTTTCAATACACCTAAGCCGGGGGGGGGCGGTTGGGGGTCTTCAGAGAAGTCTGCATGTGAAGATAGCAAAACAAGATGGGGGTTGTAAACTGGGTTGGGAGGGGGGAATGAAATGCAAGGAAAGTACAGGTTGCGATGGTAATTAAAGGATTTAACAGTGACCTTCCAATGAATACTGGGGACACGAAGAGCCTAGCATTGGTAAGCAAAGGCAACGTGGTGATGATGATGATGATGACTAAAGAAGAAGATCATGGCCACTGGTCCCATCACCTCCTGGCAAATGACAGCAGTCACGAAATTAAAAGACGCCTGCTTCTTGGGAGAAAAGCAATGACAAAAAGCAGAGACATCACCTTGCCAAGAAAGGTCCGTATAGTTCAAGCTATGGTTTTCCCAGTAGTGATGTATGGAAGCAAGAGCTGAACCATAAAGAAGGCTGATTGCCGAAGAATTAATGCTTTTGAATTATGGTGCTGGAGGAGACTCTTGAGAGTCCCATGGACTGCAAGAAAATCAAACCTATCCATTCTGAAGGAAATCAGCCCTGAGTGCTCACTGGAAGGACAGATCCTGAAGCTGAGGCTCCAATACTTTGGCCACCTCATGAGAAGAGAAGACTCCCTGGAAAAGACCCTGATGTTGGGAAAGATGGAGGGCACAAGGAGAAGGGGACGACAGAGGACGAGATGGTTGGACAGTGTTCTCGAAGCTACCAGCATGAGTTTGACCAAACTGCGGGAGGCAGTGGAAGACAGGAGTGCCTGGCGTGCTCTGGTCCAGGGGGTCACGAAGAGTCGGACACGACTAAACAACAACAACATTATTATTTAAATCCTTTGTCTCCAAACAATCCTCAGGTCACTTGCAAAGTTGGAAGTTCGATTTTTAGCATCGACCCTTGCGGGTCAAGGTTGCACGCCACCCGCCCTCAGTTTTCACGTGTTCTGTTTGAATCAAGAGGGATAAAGAGAAGTGGCTGATACGTCACCCGTTCACACGTGCAAAAGACACGCGACTCCTCCGGGTCCCCCTTCCCCCCGGCGCACGCATACTGCACGCCACGCGTTCCATTACCTGCCAGCCTTGCGAATTTCTCAGAACTCCCCCCCGCCCCCGCCGGCGCCCCGCTACCGTCCTGCCCTCACGGTTTCTGGGCCGCGGTTGCCGCAGCAACTGGGAAGCCACGCCCAGGGTGGGGCTCTGATTGGCTAGTTGGGGAAAAGCCCCGCCAACCCAAGGGGAAAGGGGAAGAAGGGCGGTAGCGCCGCCATCTTGAGAGAGGCAACAACAACAACAACAACTAAAACCCGCCATCTTGGACATAGAGATAGGAAAACGTGAAGAGTCGCACATGGTCGCAATTCTGTCTATAATCAGTTTTATGGACAAAGGCGGTTTCCGATTTTTTTTAGCTGAAGTTTTTGGTTGTGCCACTGTGATTTTGTTTAAGATTATCTTAAACAGTTGCTTTACTGGATAACTGAGGGCAAGGAAGCAGCTGTGATTCAAAGAGCCATGTTGAGTGTGTCATAGGGAAACTTCCCTAGGAAAAGGGTTGGGTTTCCGCTCCTCCCTTGTGCCGCCATCTTGTGTAGGTCTCAGAGAGGCGTCTCAGTGCGGCCATCTTGGGAAGGTGGTTCTTTTCCCTGTTGCCTTGGCAACTGAATTGGTATTTGGCGAGAGCTGGGTTCAAATGCTGGTTCAGCCACAAACAAATGAGCCCTTGTTGCCTTATGAAAAATGGAATATCAGCTTGGTATACTGCCTTCCCCTCTTTGGCAGATACTGTACCTTGTTTCTTTAGATGCAGGCAGAAGCTGAACTAACGCAGCTTTTCATGTTAAATTTCATGGTGTCCTCTTAGACTTCTGCTTCTTCTTTCTTTCTTTTTTATTTTTATTAATTTTCCAAATTTTTACAAATCAAACCAAATTCCTTCAGCTTCTTTTGCAATTACTAAAGGCAGAGGAGCCACATGAAAATCAAAAGGTTTAGTTTCAATAAATGAAAAGGTAGCGATGCTGTTGCCATGATGTGAAATTAGGCACATTTTTTTTTGCACATTGCGTGGGCTCACAGAGAAGTCGAGACAGCATGAGCAACCTACTTCCAAAGGGAATAACCTCCACTTCAAATTACATTTTAGATAGCTAGAGATGGTATATTTTTCTTTTCTTTTTTCTTTTTAAATAATCTATTAGTTTCCCACATAGACATATATACCTAAATAACAAATCATACAAAGCAAAAGCAATACAAGTAAAGAAAAAAAATAGAATAAAAGGAAAAAATACAGTATATTACAATTAAATAACAGGTTAAAATATAAAACTTCCAATAATTCTCATTATACTGCTTATATTGTCTATATTTTCTTGCACAGATTTATGTTATTTCATTATATATATATATATATATATATATACCAGTATAATATCTAATATACTTTTTGCTTACAAGTATCAATCTAGTTCTGCAAGTATCTTGCTGTTTGTACAATGCAATTTTAGATATTCTTTTAATATTTTCCATTCTCCATATACTTTCTGGTTTGACACTCCTCTGATTCTTCCCGTCAGTTTCGCTAGTTGCAGGTATTCTATCATAAGAGTCTGCCATTCTGTAATCGCTGGTAGGATTTCATTTTTCCAGTTTCTTGCCGCTCTTATTCTGGGTGCCGTGATTGCATACATAAACAATGTTCTTATATTTTTTTAGACAGTATATTTTTTTAGACAGTATATTTTTCAGTGTATCCCATATACAAAGCTAGCTTCTCACTGCTATCGTGCCTATTTGTGGACTGCAGCTCCTGTTATTCAAAAATAAAGAATTTGCAGGAAATCATTTGGTGAGCACTCGCATATTGAGTCAACAGTTTCCATCCATGCCTGTGGGAAATTTTCTCTAATGCGTTCCTGCCCACAGGATTTTGACCCCAAGATGGGGGGGACCGAGGACCAGGAAAAAATCCCTGAAACCTTGCAAAAGGCAAACAAGGAAGGAGGAAATGCTCTCTTATTTTAAAAAAAACCTTTGCTTCCATGCACAAGAAGGTGGTATCATCAGATTCTCATGGATCCCGAGTTTTGCAGGAGTACAAAATACCATATTTTTTGCACCATAACACTCACTTTTTCCCTCCTAAAAAGTAAGGGGAAATGTCTGTGCGTGTTATGGAGGGAATGCCTACGGGTGGCATGCCTACGGATTTTCCTCCTCTAAAAACTACGTGCGTGTTATGGTCGGGTGCGTGTTATAGAGCGAAAAATACGGTATGTTTAGGAGGACTCTAAGCAGGGGGAAAGGGATGCAGGTGGCGCTGTGGGCTAAACCACAGAGCCTAGGACTTGCAGATCAGAAGGTTGGCAGTTCAAATCCCTGCGAAAGTGCAAGTAGATAAATAGGCACCACTCTGGCGGGAAGGTAAATGGCATTTCCGTGCGCTGCTCTGGTTCGCCAGAAGCAGCTTAGTCCTGCTGGCCACATGACCCAGAAGCTGTATGCCGGCTCCCTCGGCCAATAAAGCAAGATGAGCGCCGCAACCCCAAAGTCGGTCACGACTGGACCTAATGGTTAGGGGTCCCTTTACCTTTACCATTAAGCAGGGGGAAACTTCCCCAAGAGGACTTTGTATACTGAGCGGCTGTAGAACCTAAAGATCTGCTACATGGGAAATATTTGAAATGTATTTTTTCCTTTTGGGGGCAGATGGAATGGAGTTTTCTGGGAAAGGGCATGACTGGCTGCAATCCTGACATAAGAACAGAAGAATAGCCCAGGACAAAGTCCCATCTAGTCTAGCATCCTGTTCTCACAGTGGCCGACCAGAAACATGAAAGCAGGACTTGAAAAACACTCTCCCCTCTTGCGGTTTCCAGCGGCTGGTATTCAGATCCATTCACTGTGTGATAAGAATTTTAAAGTCTTAGTTATATAATAAATGTTCATAAATGTACTAACCAAGCACATACATAGATCAGCACAGGAAGACTGACCTGGAACCATTTTTGACTCCCAAACTGACCAAATGTTTCTCTGCAAAGTCAAAGGAAAATGGAAAAGCCTCCCCATTGTCTTTTCCTTCACAAATCCTGACTTAAGGGTATGTCTGTGTATGAATAGGGTGAGCCTGTGACCTGGCTCAGGAACTAAGTATTTATCATTACAAAAGACTGGCCAGGCTCCCCACAGTATCCAATCAAGTGAGCATTAACAGTTAACCTGTCAGACAAGATAAACAACGCACTCATATTTCTGCTGTAGACCGCCTTTTCTGTGATGTAGGTATGATGTATCTGGGGGGTGGTCTTAGGTTACACCCTTTCTGTGATGTATGTATGATGTATGGAGGGGTGGTCTTGAGCTCCAGGGCAGGGAATTTAAAATGTCTATATAAGGGCAGGCACACCCTGGTTCTAGGTTCCTCCTCCTTTCCTGCGTGTGAGGGGAGCACCGTGTTGCAACAGAACAATAAAGATCAGGCTTACTAGCTGCTTTGCTTCTCAATATTCTCTGGTTGGCCTCTGTTATTTTCTCCTACCAATAGGGAACCTACGTAAGGACTCTATATGGGCTCTTGGATACCCCATAAGGGAACAAGGGCAGATGTTTTGTTTACAACAACTGCGTCTGACAATGGAGGGAGAGAACAGCCTTTATGGCTTGTAGGCACTGATTTTTCCCTCCATGAATTTTTCCAATCTTTTTTTTGAAGCCATCCAAGAGAGAGAGAGACAGCTAAAAGCTTTTCTCTAACTACTTTCTACATGCCATGTTTAATTTTTATGCATTTCTATAATGTCACGTCTTACTTGCTTTTTCACTAACATAACCCCCCCCCCATGCTGTAATCTATCATCATAGGGATGTTGCTCCATCCCCTTGATCATTTGTGGGGGTTTTTGGGTTTTTTCTGAACAGGAGAACTTCACACTGCAGTACATTGCTGCCGCAGTTCCCACTTTCCTCAATATATATTGCTGGAACTGAGGGGGGGGGGGAAATCACTCTGTTATATAGGAATGTTTTGGGATATATACTGCAGTAACAGGGACAGCAAGAACATATATTGATAAGTTTGTGCAAATGGATACGGTACCTGTTAAAAAAGCAAAAAGCAAAAATGTCATTGGAGCGTGTGAAAAAAGACTCTCTGAACTGGAGAGATAACTTGCCATTTCTCTTGTGTTCGCCTTTTCATCACAAGGTACAACACCTAAAATTAATTAATCAGAACATCCCACTAGGAGAGACTATAATGATGTTTGCAGAAGGCTTAGGAAAGGTCAAACTGTCTGCGATATAAACCTGAATCTGTCCTTAGATTAAATTGCTGATTGCAAGGCTGCCGCTCCCAATCAGAAGCGATGCCAACGCTTGGGACGGGAGTTGATTGAATCGGAAGGGGAATTTGGCCAGCTTCCCAATCCGTGTTTGTCCAGGGGGTGTGAGAAATCGCAGGCAAGGGGCAGGATGTCTCACCTCATGGGCAATGAGATTGTAAAACAGGCCAGCAGACTCTCGACCCTTGACCAGGGGGATTGTAATCTGTCATCTTGCAGTGGTTCCTAAAATTCCACTCCTGCCGTAATGCACATTGTGGGGCTGTCAGTATTAAGTTGTGGGTGAACATATCAGACGACACAGCGATTCTTCAAACAGCTCTTGTTTATTCACAGGCCGGGACAGAACTGAACTGAAGGGTTCAGTCAGCCTGCTTATATAGAGCTCCAGTACAACGTAACTGTAACAATTTTCTAAAACTATCCAATCACTGAATGTCACTTTCAATCCCTTATTTGCATAACTATCTACAGTATCCCCCTGCTGGCCCAGGGTGAGAACTTCAGTACATAACAGTCAGTGTGAGGTAATATCCAGCTGGGACCTGAGAGACCAGGGCTCAAATCTCCACTCAAATCTCCACTCAGACAACAAGCCCACTGGGTGACCCCGGGCCAATCACGATGGCTGCTCACACATCGTACATTTAAAGCACATTGGTTGCCCCAAAGAATTCTGGGAAGTGCAGTTTACCCATCAGAGAGCTACAGCTCCCAGCACCCTTAACAAACCACAAGCTGCTAGGATTCTTTGTGAGATGTCGTGTGCTTTAAACACATGGTGTGTATTATTTTAAACAAATAAACTGCCCTTTTCCCCTAATGGGGTATCCAAGAGCCCATATAGAGTCCTTACGTAGGTTCCCTATTGGTAGGAGAAAATAACAGAGGCCAACCAGAGAATATCGAGAAGCAAAGCAGCTAGTAAGCTTGATCTTTATTGATCTGTTGCAACAGGGTGCTCCCCTCACACGCAGGAGGAGGAGGAGGACCCAGAAACCAGGTGTGTCCGCCCTTATATAGACATTTTAAATTGCCCACCCTGGAGTTCAGGACCACCCCCAGAAACATCATACATACATCACAGAAAGGGCAGTCTACAGCAGAAATCTGAGTGCGTTGTTTCTCTCCTGTCTGGCAGGTTACCTATTAATGGTTACTTGATTGGATACCCTGGGGAGCCTGGCCAGTCTTTTGTAATGATAAATACTTAGTTCCTGAGCCAGGTCACAGGCTCACCCTATTCACACACAAACATACCCTTAAGACAGGACTTGTGAACAAAAAGACAATGGGGAGGCTTTTCCATTTTCCTTCGACCTTGCAGAGAAATATTTGACGTCAATTTAGGAGGGACAAAATGGTTTCAGGACTTTTTCTGTGGGGTTTCAGACATGTGGTTTATATATGCAGTTATGAACATTTATCTTTTATATCTATATCTATATCTATCTAAGACCTTAATTTTTTTATTTCAGACCCCAGGCCGATCACGATGGTTGCTCACACATCGTACATTTAAAGCACATTTTTTGCCCCAAAGAATTCTGGGAACTGCAGTTTACCAGCCAGAGAGCTACAGCTCCCAGCACCCTTAACAAACTACAGCTGCTAGGATTCTTTGTGAGATGTCGTGTCATTTAAACACATGGTGTGTATGCAGCCTTTTTCTCAACCAAACCTACCTCGTAAGTTGTGAGGATAAAATAGGGAGTGGAGAAGCCCCCACACCCCACTTTGAACGCCTTGGTGGAAAGGTGGGATAGAAAAAATATAAAAATAAAATCTGAGGACTCACTCAACAGAAGGGCACCACCAATGCAACAGGGCTAATATACCATGTTTTGAAGTAAGTGAAGTGATTTCTATTATCATCTAAAGAGCGGAGCAGGTGATTTTGTCTGTCCGAAGTCTAAAAGTACCTAACTGCTTCGCGGGCTGACCATGTCCACCTGCTGACATGTTCAACATTTTGCATGCAGCCCCCACAGAGGTGCACTGAGCATCTTCCACAGTTTCCTCCATACGCGGAAGATTCACCTCTTTGCCCTTGCCTTGGACAGCTGCAAGTATTTTTGAGGGACCCACGTCTTCTGTTTACTGAGTTGCTCTCGCTTGGAATTGTTTTATTTACCTTTCATAATTGCACTGAAAACGTGTTACTCTCCGTCTTGCTTTTAATTGCATCATTACATTGCTGTAATCTGCCCTGGGACTTTACGGTCTAAGAGGCAAGTAGGAAATCTTATAAATAACTAAGCAATGTACTGGAGCTCTTTTCCATCTTTCTCCGTTTTAACAAATGCATTGCGGCATAAGCTTCCACCGGCTACAGTCCACTTAATCAAATGCCATGAAGTGTTATCTTGAGTTACAGTTATACAGTGGTACCTCGGGTTACATACGCTTCAGATTACAGACTCCGCTAACCCAGAAATAGTGCTTCAGGTTAAGAACTTTGCTTCAGGTTGAGAACAGAAATCAGGCTCCAGCGGCGCGGCAGCAGCAGGAGGTTCCATTAGCTAAAGTGGTGCTTCAGGTTAAGAACAGTTTCAGGTTAAGAACGGACCTCCAGAACGAATTAAGTACTTAACCCGAAGTACCACTGTATTATATATGGGGGGTGGGGTGGAGAAGGTAGCCCATGCTCAGAAAAACCACAGCCACAGGAAGTAATTCAGAGATCCTGGGCATACATTAGAGCAGGGGTCAGCAAAAGTTTTCAGCAGGGGGCCGGTCCACTGTGCCTCAGACCTTGTGGGGGGCCATACTATTTTTTGGGGGGGGGAATGAATGAATTCCTATGCCCCACAAATAACCCAGAGATGCATTTTAAATAAAAGGACACATTCTACTCATGTAAAAACACACTGATTCCTGGACCGTCTGCAGGCCGGACTGAGAACGCGATTGGGCCGGCTCCGGCTCCCGGGCCTTAGTTTGCCTACCTATTTATCTACTTGCACTTTGACGTGCGTTCGAACTGCTAGGTGGGCAGGAACAGGGACCAAGCAACGGCCATCGCGGGGATTTGAACCGACGACCTTCTGATCGGCAAGTCCTAGGCTCTGTGGTTTAACCCACAGCGCCACCCGCGTCCCTCTTTATATGCAGCCTGTAATGCTGCTCTCTCCAGGAAAACCGTGCATGTCCGTTGTGTCTCCTGGATGAAACGAAGAAGAAGAAGCAAAAACACCCAAAACAGCCCTAAGGAACAGATCATTAAATATTATTGAGGCAGAGTCAGGAAAAAAACAACAGAGGACAGCCTTAATGAAACTGCAGTATGCCAAGGAACTGTTAACAAGCATCATCAGTTTTAGATGTCTCCCTTCACTCCTCACAGGAAAACACAAGGCCCACCAGCCGTGCCCTTTCTGTGAGAGAAATCATGTTGGCATCCTTCAGAAAGCACGGCAGATCATAGTGTCTCAAATAGATAATGTAGTGTGGCACAGCAGTTAGAATCTGGGGGGGCAGTGTTCAAATACCCCCTTTTTTCCACCAGAAAGCACGCTGGGTGACTTTAGTCCAGTCACAGTCCCTGAGCCTAACCTCCCTCGCAAGGTTGTTGTGAGGATCAAATGGAAATAGGTGTGTGAGGAACCATATGTATGTCATCTTAAGCATCTTGGCGGAAAGGGGTACACAGAAAGAAAGAAAGAAAGAAAGAAAGAAAGAAAGAAAGAAAGAAAGAAAGAAAAAGAGAGGGAGGAATAATGGAGAGGTTTTGAATCTCTACAGCACTGTCAAGTCAAGTCAAATCAGTTTACAGTGGTACCTCGGGTTACAGATGCTTCAGGTTACAGACGCTTCAGGTTACAGACTCCGCTAACCCAGAAATAGTACCTCGGATTAAGAACTTTGCTTCAGGATGAGCACAGAAATCATGCGGTGGCAGCGGGAGGCCCCATTAGCTAAGGTGGTACCTCAGGTTAGGAACAGTTTCAGGTTAAGAACTTAATTCGTTCTTGAAAAATGACAACAAAAATAATAATAGAGATTTACATTTCCGCTCCTTAACCTTAATTACCCTTGAAGTTTAATAGCATGGATATGTAGTCTTGGCTGGAAATTTAGATATTCTGAAAGATTTTGCAGACTCAGTAGACCTGAATACCCTCTAACATTTCTGCGATGAAAATAGGGATGCCCTATTCCATAATATTAATAATAATAATTTATGCCACACCCTTCTGACTGAGTTGCCCCAGCCACTCTGTTCCGCTTCCAACATATATAAAAACATAATAAAACATTAAACATTAAAAAAAAACCTTCCCTATACAGGGCTGCCTTCAGATGGCTTGGGAGTCGAATAACTCCACACTCTCCAAGATTTCTCCGATGGAAATAGGGACGTCCTAAGAAAAAGTGGGACATTCCGATATTGAATCAGAAACCGGGACGGCTTCTGTAAATCCTGGACTGTCCCTGGAAAATAGGTAAATTTGGAGGGTCTGCAGGCCATCTGTACGCCTGCAACCGCAGTGCAGTACAGTTTGAAAACTTGCATATATTTAAATCAAATCCCGTTGGCAGGAGAGGAATAAATAAACGGCTGTGGTTTGGTGTGTCTCCCAAAATTTGGCCACATACTGCCATCCGCTTCTTCTGTTAAAAATAATAATAATGTCACACTGCCTACAGCTGGAAGGAACGGCATCAACTCAGATAATAAAAAGAGAGAGGAGAGGAGGAAAGCAGCAAAGAAGCAGCCCATCATCTGAATTAAAAGCCCCCTGGTGTTGATTAAACTTTCCTCCTGCTGTAGCTTTCCAGCTCTCCTCACCTGTCTGGAAACGGCTGGCTGCTGGCTGCTTTGATAAATGGCTCCGTAAGTGTTTCTCTCATCTCCTGCTAAAATGCTGCCAGGGGCGCTTTCCTGCAGAGCAGAACTGAACAGACAGGATGAAAAAGAAGAGGAGAAATGAATGGAAGGAAGGAAGGAGCAAGAGAGGTGTCTTTTCTTTTCTTGTGCCTAGGGAAACCTCTGAAAGCAAGGGGAAGGTGTGGGGCCAGGACAAGCCGCCCCCAGGACCAGCCTGGCAGCACAGAAAACCTAAGCTGTTTTTTTTGGGGTGGTAACATATCGACGGGCACCAACAAACCGGCCTGCCTCCCCAGCAGCGGATCGGAAGACATTCCTACCCAAGAAGAATGGATAATCAAAGTGATATACTATGCGGAATCAGCAAACAGCTAAAATAAGAGAACCTAAGGATGATTGTTTTGCGGAAGAACGAAGCCTTTTTGGACTATTTAAAGAAATATTATAGTATGGTGAATTTGTGAGTAGGATTCGAACTGAGAGCAACAGAAGGAATTAGGGATTGTTGTATTATTGCCATGATATATAAAAGAGAGAAGATAGGGTGCAGCAAGGGGGAGATATTAAAAAAAAAAAACACTATGGGAAATGGGATAGGAAGTTGACAAAACAAAAGAAAAATCTATTATGTGTTGGAATGTAGAGGTGATTTGTTTATTTATTGAAAATATAATTGAAAGAAGAAGAAGTGTATTCCTGGCACCCTGTGCATAGTTGCAAAGGATTCTGGGAAATAGCCATCAGAAGACCCCCAAATAGCCATCAGAAGACCCCAAAGCAGTCCAATGCCCTGGAGCTAGTTTGTCCAATTCCCAGGCACCCTTGATAACCAGGTGTGGCGGCCCTGTTGCATGAATGTGTTTTATTCAAAACTTTCGTTGCTCCTGTGGTGCAATGGGTTAGTGCATCTGGCTGTTAACCAGAAGGTTGATGGTTCTAGCCCACTCGAGGATGGCCGTGGGGAGAATTCCTGCATTGTAGGGGGTTAGACTAGATTACGCTTAGGGACCCTTCCAACTTTATACAGTGGTACCTCGGGTTAAGTACTTAATTCGTTCCGGAGGTCTGTTCTTAACCTGAAACTGTTTTTAACCTGAAGCACCACTTTAGCTAATGGGGCCTCCCGCTGCCGCTGCGCTGCCGGGGCACGATTTCTGTTCTCATCCTGAAGCAAAGTTCTTAACCTGAAGTACTATTTCTGGGTTAGCAGAGTCTGTAACCTGAAGCGTATGTAACCTGAAGCATATTTAACCCAAGGTACCACTGTGGTACCTCAGGTTACAGACGCTTCAGGTTACAGACTTCGCTAACCCAGATATAGTACCTCGGGTTAAGAACTTTGCTTGAGGATGAGAACAGTTTCAGGTTAAGAACGGACCTCCAGAACAAATTAAGTTCTTAACCCAAGGTACCACTGTAATCCTATGATTCTGCATTCATGGTGTTCTGTCCACACCAGTGAGCGTGACGTGGGTGGTGTGGGTGGGGGAGGACCCTATTCACCACAGCGGCCGATAAAAAATATATATCTATTCAGAGCGACCCTTCACAGAAAAATTATTTAGCACCAAGCACTTATCTCTTTAAGCACGACTGCCCCATTACTACTCATTCAATGTCAAAAAAAAGGCAAAGTGCTTAATGTTTGTTTTGGATGGGAAGCAAGTGTTTAATTAGGGGGAAAGCACATCGTTATAATGACGGCAAATGGACAGGGTTCCCCCCCCCTTCATTAAAAAAAAATGTACAATGTGTTTTTACAGAGCAACACAAGAAGAAGATGAAAAATACTGGTCTGTGCCCCATTAAGTTTACAGTCAATCAGCATAAGGGGGCAGGGAGTCCAGGGGCAGTTAGGTGGGCAGGTGGGGAAGTGGGATATTGGTGGGGGGTCAGATGTGGGGAGTGGGCTTTCTTGTTGTTGTTTAGTCGTTTAGTCGTGTCCGACCCTTCGTGACCCCCTGGACCAGAGCATGCCAGGCACTCCTGTCTTCCACTGCCTCCCGCAGTTTGGTCAAACTCATGCTGGTAGCTTCGAGAACACTGTCCAACCATCTCGTCCTCTGTTGTCCCCTTCTCCTTGTGCCTTCAATATTTCCCAACATCAGGGTCTTTTCCAGGGAGTCCTCTCTTCTCATGAGGTGGCCAAAGTATTGGAGCCTCAGTTTCAGGATCTGTCCTTCCAGTGAGCACTCAGGGCTGATTTCCTTCAGAATGGATAGGTTGGATCTTCTTGCAGTCCATGGGACTCTCAAGAGTCTCCTCCAGCACCATAATTCAAAAGCATCAATTCTTCGGCCATCAGCCTTCTTTATGGTCCAGCTCTCACTTCCATACATCACTACTGGGAAAACCATAGCTTGAACTATACGGACCTTTGTTGGCAAGGTGATGTCTCTGCTTTTTAAGGGCTTTCTTAGGTGCCCAGAAAAGTATGAGAAGTATTTGAGGCGGCTGGATCCGCTGGATGTGTACAGGAGGGGGTTGGCCCACCAAAAGCCTCCTCCCCATCACCACTGCCATCCAACAGTTCATCAGCTCCAAGGGACTATTAAACCTTATGGCGTGTAGGTTATGTACACAATCCCAGAGGGCAATCAATTTTTATCCGGTACATGGAAGGTAACAGATGGAGACATGCACACTTAATCTCTTTTCTAGGTGGGCAGTGATAGGACTTAATCACCTTGGGTTCTTAACAACGTGCGCTTAATTTCGAGCTGGCTTCGCTCCAGCCGCCAGTCCGTGCGCCACCTGATGCCACCCTGGCGAACACCTACGCAGTCACCTTTAGCCAGCGGAGTCTGGAATGAATGGGCCTGTGCCACGCAGGAGGCAGGGGGAGTTTGGGCAAGGTGTGGGCGACGGTGACGGCTGCCCCTTTCCCCAGATGAACCACAACCCCCATTTTCCATTTTAAAGGGCAAGTTCCTAGCATTTGCAGTGCCTGAAATGTGACAAAGCACAGGCACTATTTTTCGTGTGAGAAATTAGCGTGCTTTCAGTGCTTTTGCTTTGGAGAACCCCGGGAAATTCAGCTTCCTCCTCCTCCTTAGTCTAAGTGTTGCTCCTTGTAGAACTCAGCAGGCAGGAGGATGGGGGCAAAAGCAGATCTTATTTGGATCTGGCGCCACCTACTGTTAGGCTCCTTCCCTTCCACCCTACCAGTCCCAAGGGGCACTAAACGCAGCTGCTTTTTACCAACCTTTGCAATGACCCGACTGTTCCCTTTAGGAGTGAAATTTACTCGGAGTCGAGAGTGGATTTCATGCTCTTTATTCAGCTCATAGTGGTGAGGAGGAATGGAAGTTCCCCCAGAATGTCTGCTTTATATACATTATTTACACAATGGGCCCCACGTGATTGGCTCATTCCGGGATTCACCTGTAGGCCAATCAGGTTGCGGATTCACTTCCACCTGGAGCTGGATTGGGTGGCTCCTGTGGACCAATCAGACTGCTGCATTCTGGGCCCTATTGTTCTAGGACCAATCAGACTGCTGCATTCTGGGCCCTATTGTTCTAGGACCAATCAGACTGCTGCATTCTGGACCCTATTGTTCTAGGACCAATCAGACTGCTGCATTCTGAATCCTATTGTTCTAGGACCAATCAGACTGCTGCCTTTGGATCCTATTCAACTCAGTACATAACAATGAGTTTGGGTGCAATGCAATATTTTGGGCTCCACAGGCCAGGCAGGATCAGCCTCGTGGGGCAAACTGGACAGGTTTGTGCGAAATCTCTTGCTAAAATGTTGTGGGAAACCTGCCTTTCAGCGAGGGATTCTGACACACAAGCCTCCTTGAATCGGGAAGGGGCAGGCATTAAAACAGGGGCCAGCAAGCTTTTCCAGCAGGGGGCCGGTCCACTGTCCCTCAGACCTTGTGGGGGGCCAGACTATATTCTGGGGGGGGGGGGGATGAAAGAATTCCTGTGCCCCATAAATAACCCAGAGATGCATTTTAAATAAAAGGACACATTCTACTCGTGTAAAAACACGCTGATTCCCGGACCGTCCACGGGCCGGATTTAGAAGGTGATTGGGCCTTAGTTTTCCTACCCATGCTTTAGAAACTCCTGCTAAAAGACGGGTCCTCCCCCCATCATTTTAGCAAATCCCCTGCTAATACGATGGGAGAAAACCTTTTCTCAGCAGCACCTTGAAAGGGGCACTGCATTCTCAGGGATGGGGCTGCAACAGCCTCCCCCCATATGCTGAGTTCAGGGTGAGCCCTGGTTGCTATGCAGAGAAAGGCTCTGTCATTTGCATCCTTGTGCACAGGTGTCCAGCTGTTGATTATCAGGGTGTTGTGGAAAATGCACTCCAAACATGTAAATGGTGCCTTTTTTTTTGAACCGTTTCATAAAGTTCCAAGGTTAAAACCAGTAACAGCAGTAAAACCAGTAAAAGCAGCTATTGCCACCCCCTCGCCTGCTTCTGACCAAGAGCTCTGTGTTGCTTCAAAGCTTGTTCCCAACCTCGATTGATCTCATCTGGCTCGCTTTATGCGTCTTATTCTTTCGGAGCCATCACCCCGGCAATTCCAATTTCTCTTTATAGTTAGTAAAAATCATTAACAGCGCCGGAGTTGTGATGACTCCACGTATTTCTGGATGACAACCTCCCCAACGGCTGCTTTGCCAGCCCAGCTGCCGCAGTGGCAAAACACAGACAGCTTCGTCAGCAGATTCACACCGAAAACATTACTGTTTTAAATTTAAATCCCCTTTTAACGACAGCTTGGGGGAATGGCCCGCAGTAGCCCCTGGACGCCTTCAGGGGGCAGTGTGCTGGCAATAAGAGCAGACTCTTAGAATCATCGCTTCGTAGAGCTGGAAAGGGACCCTGAGGGTCATCTAGTCCCACCCCAACGTATGACTCGAACCCACAACCCTGAGATTTAAGAGTTTCATGCTCTGCCAACTGAGCTGGTTGGAAATGTGGAGGTCTTGGAGATGATATAAACAGAAAGGATTGTAAGTTGTTTTTATATGCAGTGACGGCAGCAAGAATATTATTGGCACAAAAATGGAAGCAAGAAGAATTACCAACAAAAGAAGAATGGAGGATGAAATTGATGGACTATGCAGAATCGGATAAACTAACCAGAAGAATTTGAAACCTGCGGGACCAGAGATTCACAGAAGACTGGTGTAAATTTACGGACTATTTGAAAAGTAATTGTGATGGCCAGATTACGTTTGTAGGTTTGCAAGAAGTTTTATGAGGTAAATTATTTGAATTATTGCAAAAATGGTTAAAGAGGTGGATTGTGAGGTAAGATAATTAAAGGCAATAGGAATTTAAGAAATGCAGAAGAAATGATAAAAATGCTGGATCATCAGAGGTGCTGATGGAAGTCCAAAAAGATTGTATAAGATGGGAAGCTCTGTGGAATGTATAATAATTGGTATGTTGAAATTAATAAAAATTATATAGGAATTAAAGAACCTTTTAATGAGGGTGGAATTAAAGAACCTTTTAATGAGGGTGAAAGAGGAGAGCGCAAAATATGGTCTGAAACTCAACATCAAAAAAACGAAGATCATGGCCACTGGGCCCATCACCTCCTGGCAAATAGAAGGGGAAGAAATGGAGGCAATGAGAGATTTTACTTTCTTGGGCTCCATGATCACTGCAGATGGTGACAGCAGACACGAAATTAAAAGACGCCTGCTCCTTGGGAGAAAGGCGATGGCAAACCTAGACAGCATCTTAAAAAGCAGAGACATCACCTTGCCAACAAAGGTCCGTATAGTTAAAGCCATGGTTTTCCCAGTAGTTGATGCTTTTGAATTATGGTGCTGGAGGAGACTCTTGAGAGTCCCATGGACTGCAAGAAGATCAAACCGATCCATTCCGAAGGAAATCAGCCCTGAGTGCTCACTGGAAGGACAGATCCTGAAGCTGAGGCTCCAATACTTTGGCCACCTCATGAGAAGAGAAGCCTCCCT